ACTCTTTCCTGTATCATTTTTTAAAATTTTTTGCTGAATCAGGCTCTGATTCAGCAATTTTCAGGGCTGAAATAACACATGAGAAGTGAATTACACACAAACTATTAATTCAGCCTAAAAGAAAAATGTTTGGGGGGGAATCTCTAGCCAAGGGGTACCTTTCTCTACTCATCTTAAGTACTTACTGTTCTACTGAAGAAAGGGGAAATATGGGAGAATATACAAAGAAAGAAAAGGAGCCAACCTTTCCATTCTATAACAGTTATATGGGCTAGGGACAGAAGATGCACATAAACTGGCTAAAGTGATCTGAAACTGGTTTAAACCTATAACAGAATAGAAGCTCACTGTTCATAAACCAGTTTCAAAATGGCTGAAAATGGTTTAAGATACACCTGGTTGAATGTAGTATCAGACTTAATTGGGTGAAACCAGTTTATGAAACTTCTGTCCCAGACCCCTTCCTGGTTCAAGTTGAATCACAATCCCCCAGAATCCCAGCATGCTTTTCAGCCCTGGGCTGGGCTGTACTGTCTGCTCCAGATAGAAGCGCTGGCCCCACTCCTCTGCTCCCTAGCTGGAGCAGTGCAAGCTGACAGACAAGGAGGTAGGGTGGGCAAAGGAGGTGGGGTGAAGCCTGGCTGGGGATGCAGCCCAGTCTGAGGAAGGGTGGCGGGGGAAGGACTGCCCTCCCTCAGACAAACCCTGGCTGGAGTGTGCGGCCAGGGAGGTGGAGTTAAACACCCGCTCCTCCCCTGCTCAAACTTACTGCTGGCTGCAACTGTGGACTACAAATCCCAGAGGCACCTGGGAGCAGGAAGAAGAAGTGATGAGCAACCCTGCAGAGTGCTGCTACTGTAATTCTGGACTGCAAATTCCAGAGACCTCAAGGGCAGCAGGAAGAGGAAGCGAACACACAGCCAGAGACCTGTGTTCTAGCACCCCCCCAGCTTCTGGCCTGAGCCACTCCAGGCATGTGGCTGTGTTTCCTGAATCAAAGGTAAATGTCTGTTCACTTCTGTTTGAATTTAATCTGTGCAGCTTAGACTAACCTGCAAAGACTGAATTGATTCAGCCTCGGACTTTCTGACTCTCTGTACCTAGCCTTAGAGCTCTGGATAGGCAAAGAGTTCTATCATTAACTTTGAATTTATCTGTGATCGTGGGCAAGTAAAATCTTTACCTAGGCTAAAATGCATTTAATTCTGGTATTAGAGAGATTGAGACTTCATCATAATTAGGGACCTACCAAAGTAGCGATTTTGTGATTTTTGTGGAAACTGTGACTTCGGGCAGGTTTCACAAAAAAGCACAGGCTCTGTGGTTTTGGCAGGCTCCCTGAAAAAAAATAAAAACCTTACCAAAACTAAAATGCTGGCTCTGTGTAGGAAGCCAGCAGCCCTTGTGGCTGCTGTGGCCCAGCCACACAGCCTGCCAGGAGGGGGGTTGGCAGCACAGCAAGCTAACTGGCTGCAAGAGCTGTCTGTCATGTGGCCCTGTTCATAATTCAAGGGCCATTTGTCATGAGGCCCTACCCCTCTCCACCAACTAGTGGCAAGGGATGGGATCGTATGACAGACAGCTCTTGCAGCCAATCAGCGGTGAGAGTAAGGGCCACTGGGTCTCCTGGGCTAGAGGCATGGGGGGCTGCCACTGTCAGCCCACAAAA